CTCTCTTATAAATGAGTTTCTGTGGATTTGTTTCTGTAAAGTACCCAGACTTTAACAAAGACCTCCTCCTTCAACACTGTCCAGCTTTCTGTCTGTTGGTTCTGTCTCCCACCACGGGAGCTTGAGCTCCGTACACACAGGGATTTGCTGGGACCTAGAATCGTGCCTGGGAGAAGAAAACGGGTGATTTCTTCTAACGTATGAAGAACGCCTCAAAATAAAAGTGCAAACCAATCGTAACAGGCAACCAAGACACACAGTCCATGAAAGAAAATGATTGCAATGGCCAGTCTCCGCGAGAAGACGCTCCGCAACCTTCCTAATTTAAATTAAATTCACAGTAAACCCGAAGTGCTCATCATTCACATCGTGAACAGTTGGAAATTGTTGGAGGGAGAGAGAGAGAGAGTGCAAGGGGAAAGGCACTCCGCCATCGGATGGAGTGCAGATTGGTGCATTATCATAGGGCAATTTAGCCATACTTATTAAATTTAAACATACCCTTTGAGAGATTTCCTAAACATATCCTATAGAAGCATTGGCACAGGTGCTCGTAGGTAAAGCGCTCTTTATAACTGCTGTCTTCCCTACTTGCAAGGCTCATTAGTCTCGAAAGGGATAATCAATATGGCAAAGCCTTGGGAAACAGGAGGCCTGAGCTCATCCTCAGCAGAGGGGATGTGAAGCCAGGGCTGCAGGGGCTGGGGGCGGAGCGGGCCTGGCCAGTAGATGTGGGGCCTGCCTCACAGGTGGCAGAACCTGAGACCAGCTCTGGTTGAGGGTTGAAGAAAAGCTGGCTGGAGGGGAACTGAAACGATTGCTCTTGGCTGGACACAGGCTAAGGAGGAGCAAGGACAGGACAAAGGCTTGTACCAACCTATGTTCCTGAACATTTTGAACTTTCTGACCATGTGTATTTCTTAAAATATATATATTTATAAGAACAGTGTAAGATATGAAATAATAACTATATAATTGATCAAGGAAGCGTGGGGGGGGGGGGAGAGGAGCTTGTACAAAGGGCTCAAGTAGAAAGAAAATGTTTTGGAAATGATGATGGCAACGTACGTACAAACATGCTTGATACAACTGATGTGTGGACTGTTTTAAGCGGTTCTAAATCTGTGGGTCGCGACCCCTTTGGGGGTCAAACGACCCTTTCACAGGAGTCACCCATTTCATAACAGTAGCCAAATGACGGTTATGAAGTAGCAACAAAAATAATTTTATGGTTGGGGGGGCGGGGTCACCACAACACGAGGAACCTGTATTAAAGGGTCTTGGCATTAGGAGGGTTGAGAACCACTGTTATAAGAGCTGTAAGACCCCAATAAAATGATTTAAATATATATATATATACACACACACACACACACGAGAAACTTGTACCCAATTCACTAAACACACACAAGGTTTCAAAAAGTTCATGGGAAAAACCCATCTTTGAATTCCATTTTTCCATGAGCTTTTTGAAGCCCCCTCCTACCTACTGGGAGAATCTAGGCCAAGAAGCGATCTGTGCGCATGCCATCTTCCCTGCGTTCCCTTATGGAAACAGTGCCTTATGAATGTGTGGGTTGGTTGGTTCTGCTTGGGAATTTAGAAAGCTTTGTCATCCGTGCACCGGCCAGGTGGTTCTGGGGTAAGCGGATAGACTCCTCACAAGCACCTCTCCAGGCTTCTGCTTGGGG